GATTTGGGCCTCTTCGGGCCTTCCTGGAGGCCCTCTCGGAGGCTTTTTGGAACGTCCTGGGCCATCTTAAGGCCATCTTCGGCCGTCTTGGTGGGCTCCTGGCCCGTCTGACGCCGTCGGAAGCCGTTTGGGGGACCTCTCTGGGCCGACTTGGGGCCCTCTTGGAATGCTCCAGGGCCGTCTTGGAGGTCATCTTGGCATCTTAAAAGCCTCCTGGGCCGTCTTGGGGGCCTCTAGGGGCCGTCTTGGGAGCCTCTTGGGCCGTTCTGGGGCCATCTTGGAGGTCTCTCGGGCGATCTTGGGGCGATCTTTGGGGGCTCATGGGCCGTATCAGGCCGTCGGAAGGCCGAAAAGAAGCAAAAATCAAATCCTTCAAAAACAATAGGACAATCAATGTTTTTTGCCTTTCTGGCCTTCCTGGAGGCCCTGTTGGAGACCTCTTGGGCCGTCTTGGGCCAGCTTCGAGCCAACTTCGGCCGTCTTGGTGGGCTCCTGGCGCCGTCGGAAGCCGTTTGGGGGGCCTCTTTGGGCCGACTTGGGCCTTCTTGGGGAACTCCAGGGCCGTCTTGGAGGCCATCTTGGGCATCTTAGAGGCCTCTTGGGCTCTCTTGCGGCCGTCTTGGGGGCCTCTTGGGCCGTCATGGGGCCATTTGGGGGGCCTCTTGGGCGATCTTTCTGGAGCCGTCGGACAGCCGAAAACGGGCAGATGCCAACATCTTTCAAACACTTCCGGGAAATCTATGATTGTGCCCTCTTCGGGCCTTCCTGGAGCACCTCTTGGAAGCCTTTTGGGCCGTATTGGAGACTCTTGGGCCGTCTTGGGCCACCTTGAGGCTATCTTGGGCCGTCTTGGGTGCATTTGGGGCCGTCTTGGAGGCATTCGGGGGCCAGCTTAGCCGTCTTGGAAGCCATCTTCGGTCTTGGGTGCATTTTGGAGGCCATTTTGAGCCGTCTTGGAGCCGTCTGGAGCAGAAACAACTTTTGGAACCAGGTCTGGGCAATCTTTCCGGGACCCCGGCGTGATGCGCCAGAGGCCCAGGGGGAGTTCTTGTGGAAAAGAACCAAACCAAAACCGAGAGGATCTAGCACGCCAGGCACCCCTATGATGAATCAACAGGGGGCGGCGGATCGAAGACGCCTACGGCGAATCACCGCCGCCCCCTTGCCTTTGTGGAAGCGCTTGTGTGGCCGAACGTTGAGGCCAGTTCTTCCAAGCTATCGGACCATGTGTTGGACCGAGCCTTCGGGGAACACGTGGGCATCTTGAAGGTCCTCTTGGCCGCCTGGAAGCCATTTTGACCCTTTTCGGGCCTTTTTGGAGGGCGTCTTGGAGGGCTCTTGGGCCGTCTTGGAGGCCATCTTGAGCGTCTTGGAGGCCTCCTCGGCCGTCTTGGGGGCCTCCTGGAGCCGTCTTGAGCGTCTTGGAGGCCTCCTCGGCCGTCTTGGGGGCCTCCTGGAGCCCTTGAGCCAAAATGGCTCTTAGCCATTTTGGCTCAAGGACTCAAGGACTCCTCGGTGCCACTGGAATTCCTAAACTACAGTCGGCACTGACGAACGTAAGCTTGCACCAGATACCACCGCCACGATTCGGCATGGCGCAATGGTCCAGCACGGCACGACACCAGTCGTGGCACGCGTCGCACGGCCACGGATGGGGCTCGCAGCCTTCATCATGGTGGCAGTGCAACTTCTGCTCGTGGTGGAATACCGCGGACCCGTTGCAACCGGGCACGTGAACGTGAAGAACGGCCACATCGACCACCCAGTGAGGAACGAGATCAGCACGCTCTCGGGCCAGGTGGCGAATATGTCGTCTCAGCAGTCGCTCCTCCCTCAGTCGCAGCCGGGAGCGGACAATGCCGAGGTGAAGCAGGTTGATGCGGCACTTGCCAACCTCCCGCCGGGGCCAGAGTACGCCTCAGCGAGAGCAGAGCTGACAAAGGCCGCGCAGGCGGCCCGAATGAAGATTGTGAAGTCGAAGCCGCTCGGCGCCCAGCTGGACTCGTGCAAGGGCGCGTTGGACAGGTGCACGAAGCGCATCTCCGAGATCGACGCGATGGCGGACAAGCCTCAGCTGGCCCGTGCGACGGCGACGCAGGAGCAGGAGAGGCTCCAGGCCGAGTTGGCGGAGCTGCAGAAGAATGCAGCGCAGCAGCCAAGCCAGCCGAACTCCATAGAGGCAATGACGTCGGTCCTCGACGACGTCTTGAAGGAGATGTCGGTAGGCTTCGTGGACCCACAACACGTGGCGCAAGCGAAGGACCTGATGCAGCAGCTCGTCACTGGCATCCAGTCCATAGCAGCGCAGGCACAGCAGACAGCCTCAGTAGCAGCGGTGGCGGTGCCCGCCGTTCATCAGCCGGTCCCGGTCGACACTTCTGGGGACATCGAGCTGGAGGTGCCGCCGCTGCCTGGGATGGGGTCTGTCACAGATCCAGCCATGGAGGTAGGACGCAAGCCTCTCAAGAGCAAGACCCCCCCCCCAATGCCACCGCGTACGGGCCAGTTTTTCCAGCCCCTGGAGCGGCCCCTGGGGGGGCATGAGCGTCCGATCTGATACCCGTGTTTGTCAACACGTAGGGGAATCACATATTTCAGTAGGGGCCCAGGGGATGATTTTAAATTGGCCGTGCCACCCAGAGGAGTACCAGCGTGGTCGTAATTACGCAGTGCTACCGCCAGCCAGGAATGCCGCACCCTGCCCGGGAGCGACTTGTGAGAGCGTCGCCCAAGAGATGCTTTCACCAATGCCCGTATGTAGATTTGGGAGTAATGACTGCGAGGTTGGGTATAACCAAGCAGTACAATACCTAGAGTGTAGTAGTTGCTACGCTTGGAACGGGGAGCATGGGAGCGTTGACCGAGAGATGCTTTCAGCCGAGTGCTCGGATCATTCATTTGTACATGCATGCCCTTTTGATGTTTACGATATCTGTGCTTGCATTGAGAATTTAGGGGTTCAGCCCCCCCCCCCGCCCCATCGAGCGAGAGGTGAACTGCTGCGGAAGGGGCGCGGGGGGAACGAGAGGAGACGGGTGTTGCGCGGAGCAGGTTGGAGAGTGGAGGGCCCAGGGGGGCCGAGCCGACGTGCACGGTCAAAACTTCGACACTTCTTCAGCTTGCGTTGGAGGCCGTGCCCAGGTGGCCCTGAGAAGGCCCATGTTCATGAAGCCGGGGGTGGAGCCGACCGCCCGGGCCAAGAAGACGAGAATGTCCGAGTTGGCACGGCAAATGTGCAGACGTTATGTCTATGGGAAGAGCGACGTGCTAGTACTAGGGCTGTAGGAGTGGTGTTGTCAGGAAATGTGCATTTGCTTGAATGCACGTCTGCACGGTCTGGGATTGACACTGTTGGGATCCAGGAAGGCCGCTCCATTTCACAGCGCATAAAATCAAGCACGTCCTACACCACGTTTGTTGCGAGAGCCAATTCTCGTGGCAACTACGGCGTGCAGATATGGATTTCGAAGGCCCTGCAATTTGAGGACGACCGCTTTCACGTGATAAGCAGTCGGGCCGCGCATGTTGCAGGCAAATCCAAGAAACTCGGTTGTTCGATGATTGCGGTCTCGGCCCATGCCCCCATGGAGCGGGATCGGGAAGAGGCGAACAATGTATTTTGGGACGATCTGACGAGTGTGTTGTTGAATGCACGAGGCAAGTACCCATGTGCGCATGTAGTGTTGTGCAAAGATGCAAATGCCAAGAAACCCTCGCCCCGAGATACGTCGCCTCCATCGAGAGACAGAAATGACGACAACCGTTGGCGTTTCATGACACTTCTGCATAATACGTCTTTGCATGCGTCGTCAGAGAAATTTGAGCACGGATGCACGTGGAGGTCGCCGAGAGGCACTGTCTCGTCGATCGATTATGTTTGCACCAGTACCCAGCTTGATGCCGATGTTAAACGAGCGTGCGTCGAAGACAGCGCGCCCTTAACAATCGGCGGACAGGAAGATCAAAGGTTGCTCGTGGCAGAGTTTGGGGTTTCCCCAGGGCTGCCATGACAGCCCGGCGGAGAAAACCAAAGGCCCCGGGAAGTTCCGCTTCAATCAGCTGGAGTTGAGGAGCGGATGGGCCGTTGAGCGATTCAAGCGTTACGCGTGGGATTTCTCACCCCAGCCAGGCACTGTCGACGAGCACCTTCGCGATTTGAATGCCTACGTGAAGGCGCCTGCTTTGAAGTGTTTTGGCGAGCCTAGAGACATCCCGCAAAAATCTTGGATAACCCCAGACACTTGGGTCATCGCGAGGCGCGTTGCTCCCATGCGGAGGCGGATGCATAAACTCGGTTCTTGTTTTAACGCGTTCTTGGTTGAGCGAGCATTTTATGCATGGGCGCCCTTGCGCGGGTGCGTGTTCCAAGCTCCCTCGCAAGCGTCGCGCGGCTGGGCGGCAATCGGCCAGAGCGAGACCGCGAGGGCAAAACAACGCCATGTGGCAACCCTCAAAGCAGGCGTTCGCTTGTCTTGGACGCTTCGAGTGTCTCCGTAAAGCCACTTGTCAACAGAGATCGCGAAGCTTGGTGGCGCGACGCCGCCTGGGAGATCCAGTGTGCGTCGCAATCGGGTGACATGCGGCGCAGGTTTCGATTGCCTGGCAAACTAGACGGAAGGCAAAAGGCCACCTCGGGCTCTGCCATTCGAAAGAAAAGTGGCGAACCGGTCGCTGGCGAGCCAGAGCGCCAAGGACGATGGCAAGAGCATTTTGCCGAGGTGTTCAGAGGGGCGATCGCGAGTAAGGCATTGCTGCGCGCGCCTGCGCCGCAAGACATCGCGCGAAGCACGAGTCTCAAGCTGTCGCCTGAGCGGGCGGCGCGGGCACACCGCAAGCGAGAATCTTGTCGCGGCGTCGGCCCAGATGAGATGCCAGCCGAGCTCTTGAAGGCAGGGGGAGACGCCATCGCTGTGAAATATTTTGCAGTCGAGAAACGTGTTGTTGAAAGCGAAACTTGGCCAGACGATTGGATGGGGGGTCGTGTGCAGGAGATTTCCTAGGTGAAGGAGTCGGACGACGAGTGCGACAACAACAGGGGAGCGCCGTTGTCTGACCATGCAGGAAAGGCATTTTGCCCCCAGCTAAGCGAGCGCATCGAACCGCGCTACAACTCTTGCCTGCCAACGTCGCAGTACGGCGCAATTAAAGGAGGTGGGACCGATGTTGCCCACAACCTGGTTCGCGCCGTTATAGAATATGCGTCGTCGCATTGTTTGTCAATATTTGTGCTGTTCATTGATTTGGTCAAGGCTTTCGACGGAATCATCCGCGAACTCATATTTGGCTTCTCAGCTTCTTCCCAAGAGTCGCCCGTCGAGTACTTGGCGCCCCTCGGCGTTGACCAGGACGTTGCCGAGTGGCTGGCGTCTTACATATGCTCCGAAGGAGGCGTGTTTGAACAGTGGAACGTGGACCTGAAAGTTACCTCCCTTGTGGCGCGGCTGCACGAGGGGCCGCGGTTCCCGCGCGGCTCGCTCGACACAGTTGCGCGGTCGCACAAGGGAGGGCGCCGGGGATGCATCTTCGGAGCTGCGGTTTTCAACGCGGGATACTCGGTCCCGATCAAAATGTTCCACGAGGACATGAGGCGCAAAGGCATTGCCCTACGCGCGAGGTCGGGGGAGAAGGCTCTCTGGGGCACCACCGAGGACGAAGGGGGGGGGCCGCCGCCGAGGAGGAAATCATCGACGCCACGTTCGTGGACGACGAATGCATCGTGTTAGTGGCTGCCTCCCCACAGCTCCTCGAACGTGCTATCCAGACGTTGCTAGAAGTATTTGTTCCGCTTATGCGCAATGGTGATAAATTGGGCCCCGGGCAAGACGGGGCGCATGCTCCGGTATAGGGGCAAAAACGCCAGCGCGCACTGGGAACAGCACAGGCACGAGGACGGCGTGTACGTCACATCAGATCACGATGGCGCCATCAAATTATCCATTGTGTCGAAGTATAAGCATCTCGGAACAGTTGTCTCCATCGCAGGCACCTGTAAACCCGATGCTGAGAAGAGGGCGTCAGCAGCCATGGACGCATGCGCGCCAGTTGCGATCCGTGTATTTGGCGCTACGAACATATCCATCGCTACAAAGATGCACGCCGTGAAGGCACGCATCTTGACAAAGCTGATGTTCCATGCGCACGTTGTCGCGCCTGGGCGCTACGGCGCATTGTGGACAAGGTCCGGTCTGGGCCAGGGCAAGGCACGGACCTGCAAGCGCGGCAATCCTTGGGGGCGGCATCCATAGATTGCTTGGCTTTGCAGGCTAGACTGAGGTATCTGCGGAGGCTTCTCCTCTCTGGCAGAACACGGTTGCTGGCGCTGCTGTCACCGAAGCGCAATGGCAAAATGATGCCATATACGCGGGTCGTGCTCGATGACCTAACCGCGGTGCAAATGCTGAGCAGCCAATGTGCACCGTTGGGAAACCCCAGCGAAAACGCAAGACAATGGTTGGACGTGATATGCGGCCAAGACCAGCGATGGCACGATATCGTTGATGCGATTCACTTTTCAGAGAGCAAGTGTGACAGCTGTGCCTCGCCGGACGGGGTACAGCTCAATTTCGCTTGCGACATGCGCCCCGGGCCCAATCCACCAGCATTTGCAACCAGATTAGGGCTCGTGCAACACAAGCGCGCCGTGCACGGCGTCAGGAACGAAGCGAGGAGGTACGTCTCGGCGGACGGCGTTTGCCCTGTGTGCCATAAAGACTTCTGGCGGCGCTTCCGCTGCATTCGCCACCTGTCGGGATCCCCCCCAAACGCATGCACGGAGATGCTACGTTCGGGGGCTGTAGAGCCTCTCCCCGACGACCTCGTGGAGTCCCTGGACAGCGCCGACAGGGCGCTGTGCCGGAAGGCATATAAGGAGGGGCATGTCAGGCCCTTGGCTGCAGGAGCGGTGAAGACCGCCGCAAGATGCACCACGGGAAGTGACAAGAGCTGAGTGTGCGCTCGCACGAGGACGAAGTTTCACACACACACACACACACACACACCTTGAGACGCCTCGAGCCTACCTTGGGAAGAAGAAGAAGAAGAAGAAGAAGAAGAAGAAGAAGGGCCTCTTGGGCGATTTTTTGGAGCACTTGGGCAGTCTCGGGCCGTCGGAAGGCCGACAGAAAGCAAATGCAACAATCCTTCAAAAATTCTTTTCGGAAATCGATGATTTTGACCTTTTCGGGCCTTCCTGGAGGCCCTCGTGGAGGCCTCTTGAGCCGTTTTGGGTCATCTTTGTGCCATATTCGGCCGTCTTGGTGGGCCCCTGGCCCGTCCGACGCCGTCGGAAGCCGTTTGGGGGGCCTCTCTGGGCCGACTTGGGGCCCTCTTGGAATGCTCCAGGGCCGTCTTGGAGGCCAGCTTGGGCGTCTGAAAAGCCTCCTGGGCCGTTTTGGGGGCCTCTTGGGGGCCTCTTGGGCCGTTCTGGGGCCATCTTGGAGGCCTCTTGGGCGATCCTTGGGCGATCTTTGGGGGCTCTTGGGCAGTCTCGGGCCGTCGGAAGGCCGGAAAAAAAACAAATGCCACAATCCTTCAAACATTCATGGGAAATATATGATTTTGGCCTCTTCGGGCCTTCCTGGAAGCACTCTCGGAGGCTTCTTGGACCGTCGGAAGGCCGAAACGAAGCAAATGCCAAAATCATTCGGAAACTTACGGGAACTCAGTGTTTTTGGCCTTCTCTTGCTTTGCCTTCCTGGAAGCTCTCTTGGAGGCCTCTTGGGCCGTCTTGAGCCAGTTTCGAGCCAGCTTCGGCCATCTTGGTGGGCCCCTGGCCCGTGTGACGCCGTCGGAAGCCGTCTGGGAGGCCTCTCTGGCCCGACTTGGGGCCCCCTTGGGGTGCTCCAGGGCCGTCTTAGAGGCCATCTTGGGCGTCTTGGAGGCCTCTTGGGTCGTTGTTGTGCCCTCTTGGGGCCGTCTTGGGGGCCCCTTGGGCAGTCCTGAGGCCATTTTGGAGGCCTCTTGGGCGCTGTGGGGGCGATCTTGGGGGCCTCTTGGGTCGTCGGAAAGCAGAGAAGAAGCGAATGCCAAAATCCTTCAAAAACCTAAGGACAATCAATGATTTGGGCCTCTTCGGGCCCTCCTGGAGGACCTCTTGGAGGCCTCTTGGGCCGTCTTGGAGGCCTCTGGGGCCGTCTTCGGCCGTCTTGGACTCTCTTGGGCCGTATGGGAGGCCGTCTTGGACCATCTTGGGCGGACTTGGAGGCCATCTTGGACCATCTTGGAGATCATCTTGGGCCAACATGGCCATCTTGGAGATCACCATGGGCCATCTTGAGCGACACATTGAAAGAATTGCGGGCCTTCCGGGTGGCCGGCGGGACGGGCCGAAGCCCCAGGGGGAGTTCTTTGGGAAAAATTGCCAAAACCAAAAACGTAATAATTCGGGCACGCCAGGCACCCCTATGATGAATCGACAGGGGGCCAGCGGATCGAAGACGCTTGCGGCGAGTCACCGCCGCCCCCTTGCCTTTGTGGAAGCGCTTGTGTGGCCGAACGTTGAGGCCAGACCTGCCAAGCCATCGGACCATGTGTTCCCCGAATCGGTTTGGAAAGCCTTCGGGGAACACGTGGGCATCTTGAAGGTCCTCTTGGCCGCCTGGAGGCCATTTTGACCCTTTCGGGCCTTCTTGAAGGACGTCTTGGAGGGCTCGTGGGCCGTCTTGGAGGCCATCTTGAGCGTATTGTAGGCCTCCTCGGCCGTCTTGGGGGCCTTTTGAGGCCGTCTTGGGCCTCTTGGGCGATTTTTCGGGGCACTTGGGCCGCCTCGGGCCGTCGGAAGGCCGAAAAAAAAGCAAATGCTACAACCCTTCAAAAACTCATGAGAAATCAAACCATTAATTTCTTTTTTCGGGCCTTCCTGGAGGCCCTCTTGGAGGCCTCCTGGGCCATCTTAGGGCCATGTTCGGCCGTCTTGGTGGGCCCTTGGCCCGTCTGACGCCGTCGAAAGCTGCTTGGGGGGCCTCTCTGAGCCGACTTGGGGCCCTCTTGGAATGCTCCAGGGCCGTCTTGGAGGCCATCTTGGGCGTCTAAAAAAGCCTCATGGGCCGTTTTGGGTGCCTCTTGGGGCCGTCTTGTGGGCCTCTAGGGCCGTTCTGGGGCTTGGACGATATTTGGGCGATCTTTGGGGTCTTGGGCCGTATCGGGCCGTCGGAAGGCCGAAACGAAGGAACATCTGTGTTTGTTTGCATTTTCTGGCCTTCCTGGAGGCTCTCTTGGAGGCCGTCTTGGGCCAGCTTCGAGCCAACTTCGGCTATCTTGGTGGGCTCCTGGCCCGTCTGACGCAGTCGGAAGCCGTTCGGGGAGCCTTTCTGGGCCGACTCGGGGCCCCCTTGGGGTGCTCCAGGGCCGTCTTAGAAGCCGTGTTGGGCGTCTTGGGGGTTCTTGGGCCGTCTCGGGCCGTCGGAAGGCCGAAACGAAGCAAATGTCGAAATCCTATGGGAACTCAGTGTTGTTGGCCTTTTCTTGCTTTGCCTTCCTGGAAGCCCTCTTGGAGGCCTCTTGGGCCGTCTTGAGCCAGCTTCGAGCCGACTTCGGCCATCTTGGTGGGCCCCTGGCCCGTGTGACGCCGTCGGAAGCCGTCTGGGAGGCCTTTCTGGGCCGACTTAAGGCCCTCTTGGGGTGCTCCAGGGCCGTCTTAGAGGCCATCTTGGGCGTCTTGGAGGCCTCTTGGGTCGTTGTTGTGCCCTCTTGGGGCCGTCTTGGGGGCCTCTTGGGCAGTCCTGAGGCCATCTTGGAGGCCTCTTGGGCGCTGCGGGGGCGATCTTGGGGGCCTCTTGGGTCGTCGGAAAGCAGAGAAGAAGCGAATGCCAAAATCCTTCAAAAACCTAAGGACAATCAATGATTTGGGCCTCTTCGGGCCCTCCTGGAGGACCTCTTGGAGGCCTCTTGGGCCGTCTTGGAGGCCTCTGGGGAGCCGTCTTGGGGCGTCTTGGACTCTCTTGGGCCGTCTTGGACTTGGAGGCCATCTTGAGCCGTCTTGGAGGATTCTGTGGGGACGCTGAGGTGGTTCACGCGGCCTTCTAGTACCCCGGCGGAACGGGCCGAAGCCCCAGGGGGAGTTCTTTTGGAAAAGAACCAAACCGATAGGATCTAGCACGCCAGGCACCCCTGCGATGAATCGACAGGGGGCGGCGGATCTAAGACGCCTACGGCGAATCACCGCCGCCCCTTGCTTTTTTGGAAGCGCCTATGTGGCCGAACGTTGAGGCCAGACCTGCCAAGCTATCGGACCATGTGTTCCCCGAGTCGGTTTGGAAAGCCTTCGGGGAACACGTGGGCATCTTGAAGATCCTCTTGGCCGTCTGGAGGCCATTTTGCCCATTTCGGGCTTTTTTGGAGGACGTCTTGGAGGGCTCGTGGGCCGTCTTGGAGGCCATCTTGGGCGTCTTAAAAGCCTCCTGAGCCGTCTTGGGGGCCTCTTGAGGCCGTCTTGGGCCTCTTGTGTGATCTTTGGGGGCACGTGGGCCGTCTCGGGTCGTCGGAAGGCCGAACAAAAACAAGGGAAATCAAACTGTTGTGCCTTTTCGGGCCTTCCTGGAGGCCCTCTTGGAGGGCTCTTGGGCCTTGGAGATAGTTTATCGCGTTGGCCTGGCAGTTCGTTGATCCGCAACCGTT